GCATTGAATCTAAAATGAGTTTTTACAACTACTGAGACGATGCAAAAGCTGGCTGACATTTCATACCGGAAGGCATCAACAGCTCAGACGGCAGCATTCCTATTCCGAAATGAAATATTATTGATGCCGTCAGGTCTTATTCATTGTTTTAAATGTCAAAATCATTCGGATCACTAAAGATTACTTAACCCACAGGCTTAGACGGCCTTCTCCATATTTGACACAACCTTTCAGTGCTCTTCAATTTGGTTGTTTTGAATTTTCAAATGTTTTGATGCAAGCGCCACTAATGAGTCGATCTTGTGAAGAATCATAATATAAGCCTAATATCTTAAATGAGTGCTTAAAACTACTGGGTGCATGTACTGCTGGTGGACGTTTCGTCTACGAGGATAACACCAGCCCACAACAGTTAGCACTTCTGTGCGTACATGAAATATAATTGATACGGTTATTTATGTAGAATAACTGTTATAAAATGCTAAATTCATTAAATAAACCAAGGTTTTCTACTCCAGACAAAAGGTTGATTAAGCCAGATTTGGCACATTTCTTTTAAATTTCGATATTCAATGCTTTAACTTCCTTAATTTTATTTTCCAACTGTTTTGGTTCAAGCGCAACTTCCGAGTCTTGTTTAGACAAAACGCGCGACAGGCGTACTGAAATAAGGTACTAATTGTTATCTTAGTGAGTTTTTACCTTTATCTCAAGGAATATTTTGATATCGTTGCAGAAATATTATCTGTTGAATTGAAGAATAAAAAGACGTAGAATAAATGTAAAACTACAGCAACATGACAATAATAAATGAAAACATCTGAAGTACTACATAGGGTGCTCAATAAAAGATAAATGTTCATGACATATGCCAGACTATAAATCATACAGCATCTATACAAGTTGTGTATGAATCATACAAGAACTAATTAGAATCTGATGTCAAAGACCCCTCCCCCCAAAAAAAAAAACAACAAAAAAACAAAACAAAACAAAACTAAACCCACAGAAAAAATGTTCCTTCGTATGAATAATTTAATTAAAATATAGTTCCAAAATGTGTTTTTCCCTATATATTTGAATAGATGTCTATGGGCATTTGTACTAATTTCTTGATAATCAACATTGTTTTAAATGGACCTTCAAGATTATTTTCAAAGAAATTATCATTGGAAAAAATATGACGTACAATTCCTGACAATTAAATACAGAGCCAGTGTTCACAGTGTTTGACAGCTGGTTATAAGACGTGTTATATCTGTTATCCGTAAAATAATCACTGTCCTATTATCTGTATAATGGGATATAATTCTTTCTTCCTATAACTCGTAATATAATAACCTATTCTTGTCGTCAAGTATTAATCATTTTCCGTGGCAACAAGGAAAACCTGAAGTACTTTTAATGTTTCTACTTGAGTTTCGAATATTTTTTTTTTCTTTTTTCACATAGATTTTGTCCTTCTGTAACAAATTTAGTGTAATGAATTTAAAACACAAAGTTGTTCTTAAGGTCCTCTATTGTTTTGTTTTTTTTTGTTTGTTTTTTTTTTTGTTTTTTTACCGTGTGTCATATTTTGACGACATTTAAAGACTTCTCTTTTGGTGGGATTCCGTAATTCCCGAAGTTTAAGTGTTCGCTGCTCACATACGTGTGTTATACAGTTATCCGGGAATAACCTTTATGCTGATAATTTACTCTTACGAAATACTCTTATCCTAAAAAATTTCAACTTTATGAAGTAAATATACCTACTTGTTTATCCTTTCACCTCTCATTTTCGTTGGACTCGAAAGCGTATTATCCGGGTCTCTGATTTCATATTATAATCAGTTGTCTCATCTTTTCATACTTTATCTGTGACATTTCTACCTTCATTTTGAGTCTTTCTGATAGGACCTGACATTTCTACTTTTATTTAGAGTCTTTCTGATATGGCCGAGTGGTCCAAGTAGTTACTACTGTAATCACTATCCAGTCAACACCGAGGTTGTGAGTTCGAACCCCGCTCGTGCTGGTGCACTCGACTCCAATCTTAATTGACTAGGATTGTCAGTTTTCCTATCGAAGGTCGGTGGTTTTCTCCGGACACTCCGGCTTCCTCCACCAATATAAAACTGGCCGCCACGAAATAGCCCAAAAGCGGTGGTTAAAAGTGGCGCTAAAACACTAAAAAATAAAATTCTGATATTAGGAACATTCGCCAATTTTTTGGGAGTTGCACACATCGTTGTTAATACGTGTAAAATTGAAATTTTAGTTTACATTGATTTTTGAATAATTAAATACTGTTGAAAATTAATAGTAACATATTAGTGATTGGAATAGTCAAAAGTGACTTGCTAATAATCTTGCTAAGCAGACTTTAACTATTCTCATATTACTGTTATAGTGGTCCAAGGACACAGTTATCGTCCCTAGTCCCTAGTGTGAACAGTGTATAACTTGCATTTTTTTTTTGATACACTTTCCCAATTTATTTCTTGATATTTTATGCATGAAATATTAAGTAAGGGGATGAAATTACATGTTAAAAAAATTTGGGTGCTGAATCTTTATGTTAAGTAGTGATTTGGTCCAGTTAAAAAAGGTCAAAAATTAGAATGTCGGAAGCTGTCAAACTGAATTTTAGCCCCCCTTAACACAGAATTGTCAATATTTTGAGTTAGAGCTGGTAGAAGTTTCTATAATTTTGATATTATTTGTATCAATAGTAGTACACTACACTGTAAAAATCTTTTTGAGATAGAGCAGGTGCGATTTTTTTAATTTGAATTTATTGTCTAAAAGAAATGCACTACGAAATAACTGTGTTCTCGGGCCTAGTGTTATGTTAATTTTGTTTAAGTATGAATCTCAAATAAAAACTATTTCAATACTAAATGCAGTTTATAACAAAGACCCGATTGAAATGTACCAGTAAACGTTATTATAAAAGCCATCTACTAACATCAACTCATTATTTTCATCTGCAAACTGTAACAATATAAAAACGCTAGGAACTATTTTATTTTTTTCTATCCCCTGTACTTTCTGTTCTATTTGAAGCGCTTTTGGCTGTGATGCTCCTTTTTTATAAATGAAATATGATACTAATTTTTGGCTTTCAAACATACTTGATGGAGCTCATTAGCACGAATGATATGCACAGAGATATATCCAAAACGTATATATTTAAAATGAAAATGTTGAATGCCAGAGGGACTTTCAGATTCCGTGAGACAAAATAGACTTATAATGACAGGAGAATCAAAGCTTTGATGCTTGGACCGGTTTCTTCTTTATAATTATATTTAATATGTGTATAGTTGTAATCATTTGCGTGTATTAACAAATTGTATTCGTTTCTTCATGGCTCTTCAAATAAAAATATAAAAGTTCTGTGATATTGTTTCTGTTATTTTTTGTTAAAAGTTTTCAGCGTTTTCATAATTAAAAACTCATTAAATAAATTACATTAAGTTAAAAACAAATACACATTAGATAAAAGAGTTTAGAAAATTTCAATATGAAACCTAGAGTACATCTTGGAAATAAAATGCATATAGTAAAAAGTAAAATCACAAAAATACTGAACTCCGAGGAAAATTCAAAAAGGAAAGTCCATAATCAAATGGCAAAATCAAAAGCTCAAACACATCAAACGAATGGATAACAACTGTCATATTCCTGACTTGGTACAGGCATTTTCTTATGTAATTAAACCTGGTTTTAAAGCTAGCTAAACCTCTAACTTGTATGACAGTCGCATCAAATTCCATTATATTGACAACGATGTGTGAACAAAACAAACACAATAGGTAAAAATGTCACAAATAGGGGTACAACAGCAACACGAACCCAACCAAAAAAAAAGGGGGGGTGATTTCAGGTGCTCCGGAAGGGTAAGCAGATCCTGCTCCACATCTTGCACCCGTCGTGTTGCTCATGTTATTACAAAGCCGGTAAATAGTCTAATTCGGTAGGTCACAGTCGTGAAAAGGGAACGGGATTGTAGTAACGACATAAGGACCATATCCGATATCATCTGTGAAACGGATATTCCTTAACGGTCAACCAACTCGTGATGGCGTCCGTAAAATTTACGAAGTGATGATTTCAACTCCACCATTTGGAACTAAAAATGGAAAGGTCACAATTGGGAAGCTGAAATCATCTCCTTTGTCGTAAAGTTTTGTTTTCAACCGACCCTCATTGTCAATTTCTAGATGTAAGTCAAGATATGAGGCAGACTTAACTGTAAAACGGAAAGTCCCTAATCAAATGGCAATATCAAAAGTCCATAAACAAAAAAAACGAATGGATAACAACTGTCATACTCCTGACTTGGTACAGGCATTTTCTTATGTAGGCAGTATGTATGACAGTCGCATCAAATTCCATTATATTGACAACGATGCGTGAACAAAACAAACAGACACAATAGGTAAAAATGTCAAAAATAGGGGGACACATTGTGTAACAGACAACAACACATTTTGAACATCCCAAGATCAAAGTAAGGTAGCAACTAGCCTTTTGACTATGATATTCTCTCACCTAGCTCAATTAGCCTGCTAGAGTTCTCATGGCGCGATATCCAAAGCCAAAAATAGTTGTGTTTTTAACTGAAATGGACATTTTAGATACTATGGTGTGTTGTGCTGTCCTGTGTTATTGTTAATTTATGTTATCCACTTCTATGTACCATAACATTTGCTAACAATATATTCAGTTTTGGCTAATTATATAGTTATTGGGCGTCAAAGCAAGGCATCCAGTCAGATAATACATTTCTGAAAGTTCCATTTATCATAACAATTGCTCTTTTCATCGACCAGCAGATAATTATTGGTGTTACTTAATGGTTGTCCACCTCTTTTGGTTAATCAAGGAGTTAAGTAGTTTATAAATATCAATATTATAGACATTACCACATCTGTCGAAGGATATAGCCCTTGTTCAGGACTTCTTACAATAATATAACCTTTGATTCAGTATTGATTATTGGTGTTTTTATTTTTGCTCGTGAGAACTTAGGTGTAAACAACGGAGTTAATTGTCAAATAAAAAGTAATCAATTTTATAGCGATGTACTTTTCTATTCAAGTTTAATGGACATGTAAAAACGTTCAAGGATATTATTTTCAGGTAAGTTTTATAACATTGAAAAGTTTAAAATCAAATGTAAAAGTACTTCTATTCAAAGGTCTGACATCTCTTTCAGCTTAAGATTTAGTTTTTTTTCAACATCGTCTTGTCAATAATTAACCCAATGATTGTCAAAATAGTTTTTTGTATTTGTTTCGCCTAACAAAAGTTCCCCTGGAACTTTTTGTATAAACACTGCCATTATATCTGTTCCAGTTGGAACACGTTTTATACCCTTTATTCCGTTAGGAACAAAAACTGTAATATAAGTTCCAGTGGAAATAATATTACAGAATATTTCTTCCACTTGGAAATTATAATATGAAGGAACTTCTATTTCATGACACTTTACAACTTCAATTGGTTTCTTTTTCAAGCGGGTATATAACAACAACGTTTGAAACGTTTATTTTTTGATTGGATAACGTCACCAATTTTCCGTTGTTTGTTTTCTGTCAGTTTCATTAGAATGGAGATAACAATATTGTATTTTAAACTCCGACGGCATCAATTCAAATTCTTTATTACCTTGAACTTTACATTTCATCGGTGTTGGTGATTTGATGGTCACAAATACCCGTTTACTGGCTCCGCTAAAGCGTCACCAGTGAAACTTAATTTGCGACCATCAAATCACCAATTGATGCCGTCGGAGTTTAAAATACAATACAATTATCTCCTAATTAACTTGATTATTACAGAATATTTCTTCCACTTGGAAATTATAATATGAAGGAACTTCTATTTCATGACACTTTACAACTTCAATTGGTTTCTTTTTCAAGCGGGTATATAACAACAACGTTTGAAACGTTTATTTTTTGATTGGATAACGTCACCAATTTTCCGTTGTTTGTTTTCTGTCAGTTTCATTAGAATGGAGATAACAATATTGTATTTTAAACTCCGACGGCATCAATTCAAATTCTTTATTACCTTGAACTTTACATTTCATCGGTGTTGGTGATTTGATGGTCACAAATACCCGTTTACTGGCTCCGCTAAAGCGTCACCAGTGAAACTTAATTTGCGACCATCAAATCACCAATTGATGCCGTCGGAGTTTAAAATACAATACAATTATCTCCTAATTAACTTGATTTACGATAACTAAAGGTTAAAAAAATTATATTGCAACTAGTTGTATTTATATCCTTAATATAGTAACAAAGCTATATTTTGTGCAATGTCAATTTCATCATGGATCACTTTTTCCATTGACATTGACCTAATATTGTATATATCTTACCTTTCGATTTATGTATCTTGTTCATGCTTAACTCATGCGTTATTGTTGTTTTAAATTGATCATTCTATCAAAGAAACAGCGGTTTCCGACATCTTTTTCATCAATAAAAAATGGAAGTTTTTTTTTGTCATAAATAATATCTTTTGGAAAGAACATGACAAACAATGAAGAAGATTGTAGATATCTAACTTAAGTTTGAAAATACAAAAACAAATGTACTGTTCTCTTCTGTAGTTTTGTCTGTCTTGTTTATGGACTGTTATTTGTCATTTTGTCTTTTCTTTTTATCGATGGTGGTGTTTTTCTTTCTCTGACTTATTGTTTTATTGCCCATTGGTATCTTCTAACTTTTGCATTCCAACTAGACCTGCGTGCAGCTTTTTCATGAAGGTCTGGATTGAGGTCCTTCATTTCTGTATTCTTTAATTTTTTATGCCATTTTTCTCTATTCTTTATACTTTTTGCCCATTATTCTCTATTATTCATATTTTAGCACCTCATTTTTCTCTATTCTTTAAAATAAAGATTGGTCCATTTTTCTTTGTATGTACAAAAAAATCAGTAGGCAGATGAAACCGTTCTGAATAATGGATTTGTTGTTTTTATTTAGCTCCTTTATGAACCATAAAGCTACATGGATTAAAGGTCAAACAAAGGTCAAATTGCTGTAAAAACTTTATTGGCTTAGCATGGGAATAGAAGAATCTACTTGTTTGAAAATAACATTCTATTTTCACATACACTTCTAGGAATCATAAAAATGTTTTTCAAATGATCCACCTTAAGAATTTTTTTCTTCAATTTTAAATAAATTTAAGTATTCTATTATAAGCCGGGGTATTTGTCACAGGAATCTTCTCTTTTTTACCCTCTCCATCGGGATGTCTTGGGTTCTATCACAGACCGGGTCAAACTAAACACTTGAAAAATACATAAAAGGGTTAACAGCAATCGTCACAAAAATGCCGACTTCTTCCCGCCAAAAATATGGTCCAGATTACCTGACTTGGTAAATGGTGACAATGTGTAAGGTTTAAACAGTTCTACGTGCGCACACATTGGTATGTGCTGCCTCTCCGCTAAGAATGCGGCATTTACGAGTAAGAGTCAGAATAATGTGTAGCGTGACATTTCTTCCTGTTCAAAATCACATTGATAAGGGGTAGTAAGGTATCAAAATATTTGGTATTCTATTATAAAAGAGTAACTTCACAAAACTGTAACAAATACTTTGAGCTCTGGAGTCCATATGGTAGTTTAGAAACCAGGGCGAACTTTCACAAAAGCCGAGGTTCATTTAGATTATTAGGCTTTGGGATATGATTAAAACAGACATTTAGCAAGAAGTGACATAAATTATTTGTTTTTATATCTAGAACTATCAAAATGTTTAAAGAAAAGGTTAACTGTTTACGAAATCTGTTCAGTGTTTAATGTAACATAAATTATGGTTAATTACAAGAACTATATTATGTAGAGCATAATGATATTTACAATATTTTGAAAAAAATAATTTTAAGCAATCTTACTGAAACAATTAAAAAAAAATACATTTCAAAACTTTCTCTGTCAATATCAATTTTACCTCGCACTCGACTCATTAGCCGCTGTCCTGGTTTACATACAAGATATATTGACCAACTAAACAGGGTCAATAAAGGTATAACACTATTTCATTAAGTTTAATTGTGAAATGCTTTACATATTGACCTACTTATCGGTCACAGGCTAGCCAGTATGTCTAGCCAAGGAGGTTATATTATATATATATATAATACAAATAAATACGCATTATGCAATTATAACTTTTTCAGTTACTCAGTTCAAAATGAGTTGTCAGTTATCCTGAGCAAAATAAAAATTTATTTGTTGAACTTACCTGAATCAGGTAAATAATTTTGTATTATATGAAAATAAAAAACTTATACAAATGAAAATAAAACTGGATAAATTTCCTGCGTCTGAAGCGCTTTTCTGGAATTGCCCTTACCAGGAACGCTTAAATGTAATCATTTGAAAACCTGGGATGTATAAATTCGTAGAAATCTCATTCTGATTAAAATACAGATCCTGTGTCCAAGCTTTTATTGTAAGCAAAGCTTGTACACGGGATCTGTAATATAACCAGATTGTAGAAACCTGGAATATATAAGGCGAGTTTTAGTCATAATGGTATAACTATTACATTAAACATTATACTCCCGAAATCATAAAAGTTTCAAAATCAAAAAACTGGGGGTGATCTCAGATGCTCCGGAAGGGTAAGCAGATCCTGCACCATATTTTAGGTAAAATAATAAATGTTTGTTATTTAGCATACATGTTCTACATCTTGTTTAAACTTCAATTTGTCTGATAATAATAAAACCAATTGTAGTAAAGATAAAAAAAACATGAATATGAAATAATTTTTTAATTAATCAATTTAAAATAATTTATAAAGTTATTATACATTGCTGTGTGCAGGTTTACTTCAGCCAACTTAGATTTTTTATTGTTAATCGTTAATTGAAATAAATATTATTATATACATTATATTTTATTTTTGTATTGTTACTGTTCAACAATACACTTCATCTGGGACATAATATAATGTCGGTATGCTATTCCCAGACTTCATGTAATATTCTATGTTTCACAACATGAGTTTAAGAAATGTGGCAACAGAAAGAAAACATACGGCAAATTGAAAAATATAAGATAATTATATACCATTTAAATGAAACAGCTGAAGAAAACACATTTTATTTTAGTTTCAGGATACTGCCATCGATTTAAAATGATTTGAATTAGTCGAGAGAAATGACAAAAGCTAACAATACTCCACTGATTCTCAAGATTACAGACAGATAAATTGTTTATTTATTCAAAATTGACAAAAAGATTAATATGGCAGACATTGATCATCGAAACCGAGTTGTTTTTCTTGGCGCAGGAGATGTCGGAAAAAGTTCAATATTGCAACGTTTTTTGTTTGATTCTTACGATGAAAAATACACAGAAACAGTAGAAGATTTGTTTTCTAAGGAATATGACATTAAAGGTATTCACTTAAAAGTTGACTTTCTTGATACAGCCGGTAATATTGCTTTCCCAGCAATGCGACGCCTCTCTATTGTAAATGCTCATGGCTTCGTTCTAGTTTATTCGATCACAAACGAACAAACATTTGAAGAAGTTAAACAATTATGGGAGCAAATTAAAGAAATGCGAGAAAATTACGAGGAAATTCCGTGTGTAATTGTGGGAAATCATTTAGATCAGGAAGATAGCAGACAAATTGAAAGATTTGATGCTCTGAACTGGGCATACAACGAAGACCTAGCGGGAGGATTTATTGAAGTATCTGCTAAGGATAATATTGGTATAAATGACATTTTTAAAATACTTCTAGAGCAGGTTAATCATCCTAGAGACAAACATACTGATCATTTCTCACTTCGACGAATGAGTGTTCATTTTGTAGAAAACAACGAAACGGATACTTCTGATCATACCGAAGGTCAGGCAGATGATAAATCCAAATTTTCACGAAGTCGAAGTCGCAGTTTGATTAGAAGAGGAAGCAAACCAAAGACGAAACGATCATCTAAATCAAAGAGTGACTGTGTTGTATCTTAGTGGACATAAAGATTTTGTGACATTCACAGGACCAGTTGTGAGGCTGGACTACAGCTTTAGGTGTTTGGAAAAAAAATCTTATAACCGATTTATGACAAGGAGCTCATGCATTTAGACTTGCAAATATATATGTGGTTAAAGTTTAATAAATGCTCAACAATGTTATGAATTGTTATCTGATTGGCTGATTGTCAATTTTGAATTAAAACTTATAAAAAAAAAGATAAATATCAAAACTAGACGTATAAATATTTACAATACGGAAAACTTGGCTACACTTTTTAATGATTTATGGTACCCTATTGCAGTTTTTTTTTTAAATCAGATCATTATAATTATGTACATTTCATTTTGAGTATATTCTTGTGTTTGTTCGAGACAGAAAAGAAACAATCTTTTGTCACACTTCTTTTATAGATCTGACCTGCAATGTTTCTAGATTCAGTTTCATTTAATGATTTAAAGTTAAAACATTATTTATTGCACAAAGATAAATTTCTCTGTTCATAAGTAAAATCATCGTTTCAAACGGTAATGAGATATGATCGTAGTTGTAGCTAAACATCGGGCTGGTTAATCGGGCTAACATCACTAAATCGAGTAAACACGTAGCAGCATCTTGTGAAACAAAAATATTTGAACAAAAATAGTATTGGTAATTTGATCTGGTGTATTTATATCAAACAAATATAAACCTTACGATGCTTTGTTAAAAATCACAACATTTCCAGGCAATTTTCTTGTATCAAACTTTACTTTTCTACATATGTGGTTGCGACGATCCTGTATTTTACATCTTAAAAAGAAATTTGTGATGTTTTTAAGTTTGGGTGTTGAAAATAACACAACGCATGCCCTGGTAGATTGAAACGATGTCGTTTTCTCTAAAGTGAAAACGGCTTTGAAACCACTTCCTAATTAACATAAAATTGTCGTCCTTCACAATTCAGTTTCCGGTCAAATTTTCGACACAATTGTAGTTTTACTCAATAATTGGAGGCTTCTTTTTTAATTTTATTAAGGTTGATTGATTGATTGATTGTTGGTGTTCAACGATACTTTCAGCATACTTTGCTATAACACGGCAGCTATGATTTATTTGTGGAGGAAGCCTAAGTATCCGGAGAGAAGCACCGATCTTCGGCAGGAAAACTAGCAATCCTATATAGATATAAGAAGATGTGGTATGAGTGCCAATGAGACAACTCTCCAAGTAAAAATAGAACTATCCTAGTATATTAAGATAAGAAACGATCGCAGCTTGTCATAAGCGGGATTCGAACTCACAACCTCAGTATTGACAGGCTAGTTCGACCACTCAGCCACCGAGGCCACCAAAGTTTATTATTGCGGTATATATATAACCGTTGACCGAAGCACAGTTTGCATGTACTTTCTAATAATTTCTGTATTAAGGTCAACGATTTTACAATCATACAAAACTACAAAAAAACTTTCAATTCTATTTATTCCATTTTAATGTTAAAACTAATAATTGTTTATTAAAATCCACTTTTTCACTTTGTTTAGTTTTCAATATTCACATACAGTGTTCACGTTGTCACGGAGATGACGTGCAGTCATGGATATTTTGTCGCATGTGGGTATGGAATGTTAATTTATACACATCAAGCCAATCAAAGTTGAATCCTTATTAAACGTCTATGTAAAAACATAATATCATATAGCCTGTTCGTGAAATGTCAGAGACTTAAAACACAAAACATTTAACTTAATTCCTGAGAAATATGAACTTTTATGTCTTTGCTTATTTGCATTATACGATTATGTGTCTGCAAATCCTAATCAATGAGTTCAAAAAGTGTCATGATTGTTTTGCATACCTATTGGAACTATCAAGCTTACGTTCAAAGAAAAACGAAAATACGAAGATTAATTGGCCTTTTTTCAGGATTAACTTTCCAGCAATTATATTTTATTTATTTCTATGACAGATTTTAAAAAGTATTACGCACAGCTTGCTTTTGACACGAAATGTTTCTTAAATGGTAATTAAGGTATTTAGGTACAAAATTAAAGAGTGACTGCGTGAAGTCGTAGATAGGATCAGTTTAGGGGAAATCTTGATGTAAGTGCGTAATGTTTGGGTTGTAAGTTTAAGTAAAATACACATTTTAGTGTAATATTATAATTAAGGGTAATTTCCCACATATTTGTTTCATTCACGGGGGTGAAATCTAAAAGTTAATAAATCTGACTGTAAATAGAATATTAAAGAGTTTGTATCATGTACTTAAAAACAGTCTTTCACAATTTTACATATTTCCGTAAAATCAGAATGCTCTTAACTTCCAACACACTTTTTGTTTTCGTCACCGATTTCATTCTTTAAGTTGCACATGTTTGGTACAATTACTTAGAATTTGCCAGAATCTGTCAAATTTGCGGTTTTAAGCTATCTTCAAGGGTTTATTATTTGGTGATTTGTTTAGAAATAAAACATAACGGCCGTCTTAAACTTGCAGTGAGATGAGAGTTGTTTTGCTCCGTATTGAAGGCCTTATTGTGACTTTGAGATGAAGAACAGCAATAAAAGCGTTGTTCCTTTGCTTATTGTGTGTTTTTTTTTTGCTGTGCATGTACTGACAAAGTAAAATCACAACAATACTGAACTCCGAGGAAAGTCCCTAATCAAATGACAAAATCAAAATGATTTTGTGTAATGGATGGATACCCCATATCCTTTGTTTCACTATTATAGTATTGTAGAGCGGTTACTCTGTTTGAATTAAGTTACACATAATGAACTATTGTAATATGAGGTTAAGTAAAGATTGAAAGACTTTTTGAAAAAAAAGTCCTAGTGTGAAAATTGCTTCAGGGGAAATTGTCCTTACTTCTTTATAAAGGATTACTTTAGGTTATATACATCATTTTGATTATAAATGTTTTTTAAAGCAAATAGCTAGCACAATTCAAAAATAGAAGTGGTAGTTCACAAGAACTTCTGTGTAAATGAAATACCTCTCCATCTTAATGTGTATTTTAGACTGTTTTTTAATGTGCCAATTAATTTGCATAAAGTTTAAGCAAGTGCAAACTTTGTTACACTGAAAGCAATGCTATATGGGAAATATTGGAAAATTTCATTATTTAAGGCAAATTAACGTGAATAAATGACAATTATAGTCGCCTTGATTATGAATCAATGTGTTGTCGATTTAAACAAATGTCTTGGTTTTATCACACTGTTCCCGAAAAGTACCGTACTCTAGTGAGTGAAAATATTCATAATACACTTAAATGATACAGCAAAGCTGACAGCAGACAGTATCATGATATGATCATGCATCATGCTAACATTTTTTTTTCATTATCTGGTGTCAAGGTTAATTGTAAAGACATATTGATCTTGTGGCTGTAATTGTAAAGACAGAAATAGTTGGGTTGTCTGAACTGTCATTATAGATAAGATCAAAGTCAACATATGACAGGTTTTAATGGTGTGTCAATAATAACCCACTGCTAAGCTTTATAAGATGTGTATTGGTTTATCACATCTGTGCAAAAGCATTATTTAGATGAATTTGATTTATACCCAGCATACCTGCTGCATGCCTTTGATCTCTTTTGTTAAAAAAAAATGATACTGCAAATAAAAACTTTTATCTAGCATAAATCAACTAAAAATTAACTTCATGGCTCATCGTCTTTCGAGTTAATGTTTTGTGTAAATGTTATCCACTTGTCTAGCAATGATTTGAACAGTGTAACTGTGTAATCGACTTACTGTTATATTTGTAGAAAACACATGTTACAAAATGTAAACGATAGTATACTGTATTCAAATATTCGCCAGAAAAAAATAAGTATAGACAGAGATCAATAGTTGTCACAGAAACTATTCAGTCAAGGTTATTATTCATCTAATAATACATGTAATAACACAAGAAAAATAGAAATTATTTTTATAAAAAGAAAGTGACAACGGAAGTGTGCATGTCACGTAAATTCATATCTTCCATCCCCACCGTCTTCTTCATTTTTGTGTTGTGACCTCTCTAAATGTCCATTTTATCATTTCCATTATCCAGCTCTATACGTCTTTCGATACTTGTACATCCGTGGTTTTTAAATAGTTGACTTTGAATGTTCCTGATGAAAAGGGCGTCGGACACATACAAGTAGTAAAGTGTTATTTTCACTCATTAAAGGCGCGCAAGTTATTTTGTAAAGATCGCGTATAAAGACAAGATGTGGTATGATTGCCAATGAGACAATTACTAGCTAAAAAGATCAAAGGACAAAGATGTGAACAACTACAGGTTACCGCACGACCTTTGACAATAAAATACTCATGTTGTAAAGTAAGCTGGCCTCACTGTGACTTTGACATGATGAACATCAATAAAAGCGCTGTTCCTTTGCTTTGTGTGTGTTTTTGGCTGTGCATGTACTGATTTTGTGTCAGTGATGGATACCCCATATCCTTTGTTCTATTATTATATATGAAAGGCTCCGGTATGATAATATATGCAACAATTCAAAAGAGAAAAACCAACGGTCTTATTTATATAACAACAATGAAAGAAAAACAAATATGACAGACAGCGACGAACGACACCCTCTTGATAACAGTGACCAATGATTGGTAAACGCACATAAAAAATTATGCCTACTCTGGGACGGTGGTGAAACAACACATCATGAGAACAATTTGTAAAAAATCAATTGAAAAGGGCTTTCACATTAAATCGGTACTAAGCACAAAACAAATAACAACAAGATGGAAAGAAATTCCAATCTAAGACTACTCGCAGTAAAGGTAGAAAGCTAGTTCAAAGCCCAATTTCAACTAATATATACACCATATAAAAAAAGGAGATGTGGTATGATTGCTAATGAGACAGCTATCCACCAAAGTTCAAATGAAGTGGATGTAAGAAATTAAAGGCAACCGTACGGCCGTCAACAATGAGAAAAACCCATACCGTATAGTCGGCTATAAAAGGCACCGACACAAAAAATATGAGACGATTCAATTGAAAAAACTAACGGCCTAATTTCTCCCAGACTTAAATGTCAATCAGTACACTTCCAACTAATTTAGTATGAAAACGTCATATTAGCAGTCTGAGAAACGCAATGACAGTCTGCAAGTATTATATTTGATACGTCAACAGTCGCACGACGGTTTAAAAATA